CCCAGGACACAACGTGCAAGGGAAGCCTCCTCTCACATCCGGTCTCCCAGAAGGTACGTAACACTGGCACTTTATGGTATTCACAATACTTTGGGGGGGAGGGGGAGATTGGTTTTGTAGGTGAAAGGAGAAGGCAACTCTACTTTGAAGCGAGCCCTTGCTTTGAGAATGCCAGTAAAAGCAATAGGTTTGCTTTAATACCCCCCGCCCCCTACTCAGCACAACATGATCACCACTGTTCACCAACATGCTCACCATAAACTGTTTGAAGTGAGCAAGATGTGGAGGGGCATGTGACTTCCTACTCTTCCGCTCATGACAGCACTAGTGTTTGGTGACTAAACCAACATTGGCACATGGGGGTGGGATGAGGGCCCTTAGTCTTGAATAAAATATGATTAAAGTGACCTGGACATCAATTACCTTGCTTGCATTGATTAAACAGAGCTGTGGGGGACAGAAAACAAAGGGGTAAAGTGTGGGCCGCGGGGGGGACATAAAGCAAACCTACTGCTTTGCAACAATAGACAACCCTAAACAAATTAGGGGAAACTGTTTTTCTTTTTCCCCAGAATAGCCATTTGGCTCCTGGGTTTACTTTAGAGCTGCAGCTAACGATTATTTTCAAAATCGATTAGTTAGCCGATTATTAAGTTCGATTAATCGGTTAATCGGATAAATAATAAAATAAAATGTAAAAAATGGCTCCAGTGATGGACTACTAGCTTGTATTGAGATTGCACTCAATCACAGGAGCAAGCTTGGAGCGGTGGAAGTAAAAAAGAAAAAAAATAGTGTGGTGTGCAATATAGTGAAAAGGAAAGTGTAAAATTATACAGCAATGAATGCAATATGGCACCGACTATAGAGGACTACAAATCCCAGCAATAGTACATTATACAGAGCAATGCAGAATTTCACCAGCTATAGAGGACTACAACAAATCTATCAACCACGAGAAAAAATTGCGATAAGGAACTGAGCTCTCCTACATTGCAACTTGATTTCTATGAAGACTATCAGATGAATCAGATCAATGTATAGAAAATGCATTTAAAAAATAAATAAAACATGGTATCTGACTGTTACCAAGAACATGTAACAGTTTTACACTTCGGGACATATTTAAAAAGCAATGGCTCTGACATTAATCAAACATTCGCTGCAGATAAATCTTCCAGGTGCAGGTGTTTTAAATGAAAGGTATTCATTCACCACCAGTGAATTCTGGTGAAAGTCAAATTGACTGCTTTAAAAATAAGCCCCCAAGTAATACAGGTTTCATTATTATAATTTATATTATAAGAATTATAAGGACAACTACCTAGCACCTTACATGCAAGAAAGGTTACACATTAATCTGCAGTGATTACAAGGCTATTAGGCTAACATGTTTAACAGTAACACCTGATTACACCCATTTAGGATTGAGCAGTTCATATATACATAAGGTGTGGTTAAAGAAAAAGTGGATGGATAAGTAAAATCAGTTAAATTACTACACATAGCAACAGATAAACCTGCTGCAGTTAACCATACTACATCCCATTTAAGCTGTGCAGCTGACTGAATTTACCAGAAAATCCTGCAAAAGGTACACGTGGACAGAAACACTTTACCATCTTTTTTAGAGCTTGGTTCAATTTTAGTGTTTTTCCACTTTCACAGCCAAATTGGGATAACACCATTTTTATATTTGTATCATGTTCCCTTTCACATAGAATAAGCTAAAACTAAAAAAAAAATATATTAAAAAAAATGCTTCTTGCAGTTTATATTGTGTTTACATGGGTTAGGGTTTCTTGGCTTCTTAAAGAGGACCTTTACCCATATCTTCAAAATAACAACAAATACACATTTAGAAATGTTTAGTAATGACAAATCTGCAAACACATACTTTCTAATAATTGCAGGCTTTTTATTCTTTGCATACCTTGCTTTTCTTTTCTTCCCCATTCTTCTCACCTTGGCCATTTTTACTAAGGGCAGGTGAATCCATCTCCCTTTACTTCCTGGAACTCTGGCACATGTGACTAGGAGACTCTGCACATCACCTCAGGGGAGGAAAATACCTTTCCCTGAGATCTTGTGATATTACAGATGAGATTTCCCAGCAATGCACTGCTGATGTAACCTTCCCCGGATGCAACACTTGGGCACATTACATCACTTTTGCCAATGTGGACCAGGGAGTAGAAAACAAGAAAGTGTAAGTAAAATTAAAATATGTTTGTTTAATGAATGTAAGATGATTTCATATCAGCATGCAGAGCTGAAAGCTGATGTGATTTTTAGCCAAAGGGGGTAAAGTTCCACTTTAAGGGTTAACATTTTTTCCAGCTTCTACTTCTTTTGTAATGTAATCCTAAAAATTCAGTCCTAAGTGTCTGTATTAGGACATTAGGAAATACACTTTAAAAATTTATCAATACCAAATATTGTATTGTCATCGTATAATCAGTCTCTTCTGCCTGCTAGCAAATTTTATCTATATACCGACTGTGGCACAATTGAAGTACAGTATACAATACTGTCCCATTCCTGGCATCTGTAAAATGGAGCTGGGTGCCAAGATAATCTAACTCTTGCACGCAAGCATGTGAGTTGCAACATCACTGCCTGTCCAATGTGCAAAGCAAGAAGACGCCGGACATGGAAGAAGAGGAGAAGATTATGGCAGCAACAGTGACAGAGGAGGCGGGGATTTTGGACCTTGCATCACTGGAGGAGAGCACCAAATTCAAGTGTGCCATAATGTGCATGCATGGCTGTATCCTTAATGTATTAACACACATATTTGAAAATAATGAAATTGAACCTTTAAAAAAAAAGTTAAAACATACAGTCCAGAAATTAAGAATTATGAGAAAAAAATGTTTTGTTAAGATGTCAAACCATCAAGTTTCCAAGTTTGAACTGACTTCAAGGGTCAGTTCACAAAATATTGTTATTCTGGTAACGGACAATGATCAATCAAGTGACCATAGCTTCTAATAACATTTTGGGAACCTTCAAATAAAAGTTCCTTGCAGGTGATGCTGATGCGAAAAGAGAAGTCTTAATACGCACAGGGTTTTTTCTTTTGGCTATGCAAGGTTTAAAACCCATCAGTTAATTTTTTTGCGGAATCCAACTAGGGAGATCTCCGTTTACTACCTCTACCGGAGAAGCAAGTGAGAGCATATCTCTACTAAATTAGGGGAACTTTTCTATCATCTTGCTTGCATTAGAGCACTGAGGTGCCATTCATTTTCAATGACACCCCAACATACCTCTGACACACATGCGTTGCAGAACACCGCAACGCACTACCATGTATTGTAATACCTTGCTTGGGAAAAAAATATGCGCGTTCTTGTCTGGTTCATTGGCAGCCCATCATTTATGTTGGCTGCTATAACCTAATGGGGGGAATTTAATAAAGGTCCTGCACCAAACTAGAAAAAGCCCTGTTGCCAACTTCAGTAGCTTTACTGACACTAGCAACAAATTTAGGTAATCTGTTGCTATAGCTACGACAGATTAAAAATAATTACCACCAGTTTATAGATTAGGAAACTGGTGGTAATTAAGACCAAATCTGAGCTGCTGTACAGAGAGACGCCAGTGCTCCTATTCATCTGCCGGACGGAGGAAGTTTTGTCAAGAGGTCCTTGCCAATAGATCTGCACATCTGCGTGCACCCAGTGTGGCTCATAGAACCAGGCCGCATCACACTCCACTTTCGTGACCTAGAGTGCATGCAGGCACATGTACGCATGTACAATGTATAGTGGCGCCACACAGGCTATTTAGTCCGAGTCCTCCAAGCCCTCTGTGCTCAGTGTTCATCAGCTGTATTATCGAGATGCTGAACCTTGATTCCCGATACCCATTTCCTGTTGCTGTTTTGGCGTGTCCTGGCGATTCTCCTAATTCTCTAGTGACCCTGACCCGGGTTCGTTCCTGGACTTCGTATCTGCCTGCTGTCCTGTACTGCACTGTCTGCTTGGCTCTTCCCCTAACCACGCGTCTACTGCACTGGTACCCTGCTGACCGCATGTTGCTGACCTGGCCTGCTTGACTACGATTCACTCTGTCCTGCTTTCTAACTGGGAGTTTCCTGACCAGCCATTCAGGAGGAGCACCTCAGAGTTCTGCGTTCTTTAGCTGCAGCTATACACTCTTGACACTCATGCCGCTCTGTGCCCCAACTCACCTGTTTTACCAGCCAGGGGTTTTGGGACTGGAGTTGTAAGAGACGCCGCATTCGTCAATTCAAGCTCCATAAGGTACATGACAATTCTTCAGCTGACAGCTGAATGTAAACAGGCTTGCTGACATTATTGACCAAATATGGCCAAGGCGCTGTCAATGATGTTGACAGTGGCTGGAGCCTGTTGGGGACGCTGAGGGACTGACTCGTTTTTCATCAGGTCAGCTCCCCCGGTAAGTGACTGCAGGCTGTGAGCAGATTCCATAGTCAATAGAGAGCCTGGTATTGGCTAAAGAATACACCTACTGTTTGTCAATGACCAGGGGAGTGGACCTAATGGGGAACTAGTTCCTCAGCTTACCATTAGGCTCTGCCCACCCACTAATAAATGTCCTTGCCAGTTTCACCATCGTGTGACAGGTGCAGCAACCGTGGGGAGTGGTGGGCTGTACTAAGGACCGGCCAGCTGGTTTGAACACTACAGCTTCAGTGCACCTCCACACCGCAAATGGTAAATTTAATTAATTGCCATTTTTCATGTAAATGCATGTACCTGTTTCCAATATGAACCTGGGACAAGCACCAAAACTTGCAGATGCTAGATGGAATTCTAAAGAACTCTATGGACACTCATTATGAATTTCAGGGAATGTGTCAAACTTAGTGCCAACAGACAAAAGAGCAAATGTGTCTATTGACTAACAAAGATGCTCACATAAGGCTGGAGTAATTAGAGAGATGCCCACAAATATCAAAAACTCTAGCACAGCTCTACAGTCACATGTATAGACAAAAGTTTACTTACCAGGATAGTCTCCACAGAATGGTGGTAATACATTTTGCTGTTCACATTCCAGTAGGTGCTGAAGCTATCCAGACGGACCAACTATAGAAGATGGAAAAGATAAAGGTATTGGCTACAGTAGGAGAAGCCACAAGCTGTGTTTATAATACATAGTGCTTCACCAAACAAAATGTGCATTAGTGTCCTGTAGTCCCCCTGAAGGATTGTACAGTGCCAGGAAGGCTGACAAAGCTACTACTAATTGTGAGGCACTGTCAGCCTGCAACAGCAAGCTGTTACTTGCAGGATTACCAAGAAAGAATACATAACACTCTCTAATAATAAATAGCTCAGGCAAACTATATACAATGATGGCACATATACTTAATTTTGGATTTAGGGGTTAAGATCTATTTATGATAATACATGAAATTAAAAAAAACAAACAAGCATAATTCCCACTTACAGAATATGTAATATTTAGTTTTACATTTAGCAATGCAGACATTGGTTTAATTGATCAGGACATTTACCTTATGTATTATTTTAGTTGCTTCATTTAGTATACATGGTACCCACAGTTCATTGGCAGTCTGTCACAGGGAAAGAAAAAAAAAAAGTCAAATAATCACATGAAAACTTGAAATACAGATAATTATTGCAATAATATGTTTTGAGGAAGATTAAAACAGCTAAATTAAGAAATTGGATAACCTGCTTAGGTGAATAAATGAAATTACTACTACAAATGGAATGATACTCATAATAACACACAATGCTTTAGATGCCACTATACGGCGCTGGAACATTCGCTCTATAAAAGCCACCATAGTAGTTTCTAAAGCAGGAGGTAATACACCACTATGGTATGCAGAAGTGCTGGTAAAATGCTCACTTATAATAAGAAGTTGCAGTTACATCTCTCAGTCCCATTATAACTAATACTAATCAAAAGGGTACCTGAAGGCTCAGCTCGGCTAGTGTTATTCCTACAGATACTGGAAGATTGGCATCACTAATCTGTGAATACAAGAATATGTTAACAGGATGAAGTGACCTTAATGTCCTGTTGTTTGAATGACAACTAAAACACAAAAATGTAGAGAAACTGTATGTTCAAGTAACTGGACAGTGGTGTGTGATGTATAGTGGTTTTGAATGTGTTTTCTACCTTTTTTATTTAATAATTAGGGCTCAAACAAAAAAATAGGGCAGGTAAGTATAAAGTATTGCATAAGTATATTATGTAGGCTTCTATTCAGCAAGCAGCTGAAGCTTTTTCCACTTTTCCCTCTGTCTCCCTACTGCCCGTTATAAAAAAATCTTGTTTACAGAGCTCAATAGCCAAATATTATATTTACATACACACCCAAGTGAATAATTTAAAGCAGGGAGTTCCTCATCAGACAGCAGCATCAGAGGTTTCAATTTGAGTAGGCCTTAAAGCAGGTAGCTACTGTTGTGCTATCTCCTGTATTAACTTTATTGGAAAAAACAAAGACTGCATATGCTTTATATAGTTAAAAAAAATAGATGCACAACATCAATTCAAAAAGCATGTAAACAAAACTTTGTTAGGTTCAGTCAGTTTAAATTGTCTGTTAAAAGTTGTATGTAACATAACTCCAGTGCATAATTCAGGGACTGATTTTTACTCATCCACTGGTTTCAGAACACTAACACAGGGTATACTCAAAAACAACAACAGTGCCTTTTGTCTTTGACTGTTTGTTTTCTCTATTGATGGATATGCTTATACAGACAACAAAATACAATAGTCAGCTAAGAAGTATTTTGTAATGTCTACTAGTTTTACTCATCAGGACTGTAATCTCACGTTTGTGTGTGGGCTTAAGCAACACTTAGGAATACAATACAACAATTTGTGACATAGGTGACATTTACATGACAAATGTCACGTGGCAGACCTGTTTCACAGTGGCAACACAGTGAAACACAAATAAATCTAATTCTACCTATTGTTCTTGCCCTCTTTTTTTTCGGATGGCACAGTTATTATGACTTTAAGTATCACTGTTGCATGTTATAGTTCTTAGTCATCATTTGGCTTTTGTGTGTGTTTTCACACATAAAATGTCCTAAGAGGTTTAATGCGGTGCTGTTCAAAAAAATTATAGAGCAGGCAGCATTTGTAGAATCACTATGTCTATGTTATTACATCTAATAGTAGAATATAACATTTTATAGTACAGTAATAGCCCTTTAATACTGTGCCTCACAGCCCATAGCATATGATAATCCTACCAAACAGAATCAAGCAGGCAACATAAGTTGATGCATGAGCCTTTGCATCTAGTGTGTATATATATATATATTATTATTATTATTACATAGTATTTATATAGCGCCAACAGTTTGTGCAGCGCTTTACAATATAAGGAAGACATTACAGCTACAATACAATTCAAGACAAGATGGTAAGGAGGGCACGCACACACAGCTCATTTACATTTTCCAACTAAATACAGAATATGTTAAAAGCTAGTAGAGGCACATGGGTAAAAAAAAAACAGCATTGTTTTTTTTAATTTTTACATACAACACAATGTTTATTTTGTATTGTCTTAATGTTACATAATCACAAAGGATTCTACTAACATTTGACACAATTGCATATTTAGCATATGATCTAGATACTCACATCATCTTCATATCGGATATGAATGTTTGTAATTTTGACTTGTAGATTCTTGATAACCTGTGCTGCCAGTTTTTCTAGTAACGTGTCTTTTTTCTCCTCCTTTGGTTTGTCTTCAAAAATAAAAATCATACAACAATGCATTCATGTATTAAATGCTAGATAAATTCCCAAGATCTTTTTTTCAGCCATGACAGATATTTTATTAGGTATATTAGGTAGGTTTTTCCACTTGAGGAGTGGAGTTTCTTTGTTGATGTTAATCAGACACTAATAAATTAGCACACTTAGTGTGGCCATTTAAAACTAAACTTGTGATGAAAAATGCATAAGCAGTGGTTAGCTTCAGTGAAAACTACATGTTACAATAATCAGCAGATCAAGAGTTAGATGTAACTATAAATATACTTAAATCCTGACTTTTCTGTAAAAGTCAAGTTTGACTCAGTCCCCTTCCATTCTCTTGGTCTTTAAATTTGATATGCAGCCTCATAGGAGAGCGGTGGGTAGGCCAAATACGACTTTGACAGGAAACTAAGATTTGAACATAATTTTTTAGATGTCTATATCTCTGCATCTGGTTTTCACTGAAAGTCATTTCTGCTAGTGTGTTTTGTACAATATCCCAAGTTTAAATTTCCCAGGATTGTAATATGTATTTAACCAAAACTACAATAAAAACAAGTCAAGTAATAAATTCATGCAATTTTACAAGATGGGGCTCGCAACAAAGATCCCAAATCAGGTCAACCAGAGCATTCATCTTGGACAAGATGGCCGTCTTACTGGGTGACAAGGTCAATTTATTAACAAACAATAGATGATGCATATAAAATCAAATACAAAGCTTGCCCATTCAACTAAGTTGTTATGAATATATGGAATCCTTTCAAATATCTCTAGTTTTTATTTTAAAACGGATGCAATCCACCCCAAAAACCTGACATTTAAGAATATACTCCTGTATAGGCAGCTCAAAAAAAAGCCAACTCCATTCAAGATGGATTCTATAGAATTTATGAGATCAGACGCTCCAGCGGCGGTATTATTCTGACCTAATTAGTGCAGCTACCTACAATTCCAGAAGGTTATAATGACTGTCACTCCCTTAAGGTCAGATTCTCCATTTATTTATTTACTTCATATTGTGGAAAATCCATCAGGAAAGCAGATCAGATCATCTAGTTCTGGTGGGGATAGTTTCTCATTTTTTTAAGGATCAAAAAAATCAACACATGACTCAGGTTGACAGCAACCAAGCAAAAGACAAATGACGTGGGGAACCCCAGGGGACATGTTACATACCTGGTGGTCCTGCCCCTTCGCTGCCCGGTTCTGGACCAGAATTTTTCGTTTGCTTTCGACTCTTTTTGCCAAAAATATCTCTAAAGACCCAACACAGGCCTTACTCCATGCCTCAGTCCCCGGACTGAACAAAGCTCAGGGAGCCCTAGCCCACCAAATATTCATTGCCGCCAAATTAACTTTGGCGGGAAATTGGAAAAAACAATTCATCCCGTATCGGGAATTCACCAATAGGCTGGATGTAGTTCTCTTAAATGAACGATTGTCGTACGTCCTACAGGATTCACAAGCCAAATTTCTTAAAATCTGGGAACCCTGGATTCTACATAATCACCCTGATCTAGATATTGACACCCTCCACCGCCTGTGATGTGGTCTATAGAGTTAAGAGGTAATGAATGTGTGACCCTCAGCTGTGAACCGAAAAGCCAGTGGAGCAGACCTGAACTACAATTGAAGTTGACCGACGGATGGACCCTTTCCCCCTACTTGTCTTCCCCTTCTTCCCCCCGCCCCCCTTTTTATTTCCTTTATCTTCTACTGCATTAATGTTGATTTGTAGTGTTTGCATTGACATACTGTTGATTGTATTACGTTACCTATGTGGCCGCCTGTAGCCGGCAAGCACTGTACAACATGCTGTTTGTAATTACCTTGAAAACCCAATAAATATTTGGATACGAAAAGACAAATGACGAATAGAGTTAACCTTTTTTGACATTGTTAACTGTAGGTAAAATAGGTTCATAAACAAGTTTAGGGCCTTCGCTTCAATACATTCATAACCGATCTTTAGTTCCGTTGAAAATGATAAAAGGATAAGCTTACATCCATTGGATTTTCTCACAATCGTTGTGTTTATTTAGCATGCAATGCAATTATTTTTACTAAAATACCGAAATCCCATTCTATGACATGCTATTTGGTACCAAACATTAGCTTCCTCAAGCATGCTTACAAAATATTATGCTTACCCACCTTTTTTGCTACCATAAACCTTAAAACGGTTCTTAAAATGTTTGTGCTTTTTACGTTTTGGTCCTTCACATTGCATGCATTAGTATGAGAAAAGGATAAAACCAAATGTTAGTAAAATACTGGCACGGCATTCTTGGATGAAGGGAAACCAAATCTTATAGATACATACACACATATTCATAAACAGTTAAAGAGGAACTTTACCCAGATCTTCAAAATAACAACAAAGACACCTTTTGATAATGACAATCTACAAACACATACTTCTAGATAATAGGTGGCTTTTTATTTCTGGTTTTTCTTTTCCTCCCCATTGTTCTCACAGTGGGCATTTTTACTAAGAGCAGATTAATCTATCTCTATTTACTTCATGGAACCCTGGCACATGTGACCATGCACATCTCAGGGGACGTCTCATGAGATTAGAGATGAGAATTCCCAGCAATGCACTGCTGATGGTACCTTCCCAAGATGCAGCACTTGGGCACATTACATTACTTTTGCCAAAGAGAGCCAGGAAGAAAAACAAGACATTTTAAGTAAAATTCAAGTGTGTTTTTTTAACTAATGAATGTAAGAGGATTTCATATCATTATGCAGAGCTGGTTGCTGATGTGATTTTTAGCCAAAGGGGGTAAAGGTCCACTTTAAGGTATAAATAAATGCAAAGCATATGAACAATGCAGTTAAGAGCCTTTACATAGGCAAAGCAGAACTCTGGGCAAATATTTAAATAAGCAGTTCATTAACGTTTCTTCCTATTGTCACCTCTCAATTGGGCGAGTACAACTATCATGATTTCAGCGGGAGAAAAGTGCTGTACTATAAATGGAGCAATGGAGTAAGGCTAGCCATACACTTTTGCAGCAAGCCTACCCATAGACTTTTAGCTTTAATTTGTGATTATTAGCTGTATGGTGCCAGTCTATGGTTTTCTCCATTGAAGTATTGGGATAATAATTACTTAATAGATATCTTGAACAGTAATGTAGTAGGTAAGGTTCAATAAAGACACAGGTTCATAAAGATACACATACACACACACACACACGTTTTAGGTGTGGAAAAAATGCTGTAAAGTAAGAATGTTTTCAGAAATAAAAGTGTTAGTTTATTTTTATCAAATTTAAAAAAAGGCAAAGTAAATGAACAGAAGAGAAATCCAAATCAAATCAAATCAATATTTGGTGTGACCACCTTCGCCTTCAAAACAGCCCCAATTGTTCTAGGTACACTTGCATACAGTTTTGGAAGAAACTCTGCAGATAGGTTGTTCCAAACATCTTGGAGAACTAACCACAAATCTTCTGTGAAAGTAGGCTGCCTCAAATCCTTCTGTCTCTTCATGTAATCCCAGACAAACTCCATGATGTTGAGATCAGGGCTCTGTGGGGGGCCAAACCATCACTTCCAGGACTTCTTGTTCTTCCTTACACTGAAGATAGTTCTTAATGACATTGGCTGTATTTTTGGGGTCACTGTACTGCTGCAAATTAATTTGGGGCCAATCATACACCTCACTGATGGTTTGGCATTTCTCAATGCTCAGAAATACAAGTGTCTGCTTGTATTTCTCAGCATTGAGGACACCATTGATCCTGACCAAATCTCCAACTTCATTGGTAGAAATGCAGCCCCAGAGTTGCAGGGAACCTTAAACCATGATTCACTCAGGCGACAAAGGGAATACTGTCCTGAAAGCTGTCATATACTGCTAAGACCAATGGCATACTTGAACCAACATCGTGGGAACACATTACCAAAACGGAAAGCCAATCAATGGAAAAAGGCAGCAGAAGAAATAAAATCACTCCAAGAAATTAAAACCTGGACACTCACGGAGCTTCCCCCGATCACAGAACTATAGGAAGCAAAGGGCCTTTTTAAGGTGAAGCTCAAAGCAGAAGGAAATATCCACAAATACAAGGCCAGATTAGTTGCTAAGGGATACTCCCACAAATTTGGAGAAGACGATGATGAAACATTCGCTCCCTTCATAAAACACCTTAGCATCGTAGCAGGGAAGAGCATACAAGTAAAAGAAATGATAGACACCTGCACTCCAAGGTAGAATAACGTCTTTTTATTGACGTTTCATGCAACAATACACTTATTGCAACGTTTCGGGGTCACACAGGATCACCTTCATCAGGCAGAACAAGTTGTCGTTTCAGGATCACCTTCATCAGGCAGAACAACTTGTTCTGCCTGATGAAGGTGATCCTGTGTGACCCCGAAACATTGCAATAAGTGTATTGTTGCATGAAACGTCAATAAATAGACGTTATTCTACCTTGGAGTGCCGGTGTCCATCATTTCTTATACTATTCAGACGGTGGCCATCCATCGATTACCGATGCACCCAACCTATTACTATGGATCAGCGGTAAGGAGTGCAATGGGTACATGGACTGTAACTGATTGGGGCATACAAGTAAAACACCTTGGCATTAAAACCGCTTTCCTATATGGAGACATTAAGGAAGATCTCTACATGGAGCAACCACCAGGGTTTGAGCAAGGACAAAACCTTGTGTGTAAACTCCATAAAAGCATCTACGTACTCAAGCAATCTGCAAGAATGTGGAAAGAGAAAGTAAATGAAATACTCATGAAAGAGGGATTCACAAGAAGCAAAGCAGATCCCTGTCTTTATTCCAGGAATCAAGAAGACAGAAGGATATACATCCTAATTTATGTTGATAACATTATAACCTGTTTTGAACTAGAAGGGGGCTATAGTCAAAATGTTCACAAACTATTACTATCTTCTCAACCAAAGTTAGAAAAGCAGAAATTTTGGAACAATTTCACTAGCAAAATAAGTAAAAATCATCCATGGAACCAGGCTACCAAAAGAGCAAGCCATTATCGACATTCAATATTGCTCACCAAAAGAAATGATTGTGGATGCACTCAACAAACCATTGTCAAAGGATCGTTGCAGTTTCCTTTGAGAGAAGCTAAACGTCATATAGCAGCGCATATGCTGTTGAGAAGGGGTGTTGGAAATACTTGTGTAAATTGTCTCTGGTATAAGTATATCCCCATATACTGATATACTTGTGTAAATTGTGTAAATTGTGTAGATGGCAGTCTAGTGCATCGTTAGTCTCTATTTGCATGCTTATATAGGATACACAGGAATTTTTTTTTTCTCCATGTTCTTTTCAAAATGCTGTACTCATACATGTAATGTTCTTCTAAGCAAGTACAACATAATTCAGCATTCCTCAAGATATTAGTGCTTCATCTAAAACACATAACCAACACTAGACAGAGAACATAGGTCAATTTGACCCAGCAGCAGATTATTCTGTCACAGTGATCTGTTTCTAAGTTTGGACGAGAAGGACAAATAAAGGCCAGTCACAGTGGTCAATCTCTGACTTACTAACAATTTTGTTAGTGGCCCATGTAACTGAATTTCATATCTCATTTCATAACTCATTGTATCTCAGATATGCATATAATTATATCTCATTATATGCATATCTCATTATCTCATCTCTAGCATGAGATCTATCTACTTCCATTATTGGTTCCGAAATGCAGTGCTCCCTTTTTACCTCTGGTCATTTAAACTTTTTAGATCAAATTTCTGCTCCCTGAATGAGAAAAAATGTTTGTCCATATTATACAAGCATAAACTGCAAGAGAGATGTCATTCTGGTAATGTCTCTATGATTTATTTTTTCTCTCCATTTTACAGTAAGCATACATCCCACATCAACAAACTGGGACGCTTCTGAAAGCACTATCTGCTTTTAGTTGCTATTCAAATTATAAGTGCATAATAAAACCAGAAGTCCTCATAAATCTCTGCTGGTTCCATTTTCTGTTATGTCACAGACAGTGGGTATCACACTGCTAACTGTTAATCTAAATGTTAGAAAAGACAATGCCAACTGAGTGTAGCCTAGGGAAACCTATTGTTGCTCCTTTGAGTTTTTTGCTTTAACATGCACAAAGTTATTAGACCAAAAGCGAGCATCAGACACTTCGTCCTCTAATATGTTCAAGTCTGGAAGTCAATACTGATGTTAATATAATATAAAAAGGGCAACTACAGCAGAGGGCATTCCTAGAAAGGAAATTCTATAAAGCCAGTAAGAAGTGCTTACATTACCTTTCACTGCTGTTTCCTAAGGTGCAATGAGAGCCCCTGAGATCACTATTGACAATAAACATGTTATTGTGCACGATAACCTGCTTCTCAGCAGATATTAAGTCCCTGTTCACACCTAGGCATTTGCTTGCGCAAACTATACGTAACAAAATATCCCAATCATTCCTATGACCCCTGTTCACACCCGAGCATTTTATCACAAGCTGTAAAATGCCTAATGCTCGATGAAGTACATGAGCTTCTTTTAGTAGTTTACTATGCATTTTGTCACCATAGACTCAATAGGAAAACGCCTAGAAACACGACAAAAAATGATGCACGTTTTGCTCGGGTCTTTATGCACATTTCCCCATTTATACCAATGTCTCAGAATCTGCCAGCTAAAATACACAACTTAACGTATGCGTGTCAGAAGCGTACAGAAACGTGCAAAATATGAACAAAAACGCTGATGCCTAGGTGTGAATGCAGGCTAACTATTAGACAATATATTTTTACCTTCAAATGCTATTTAATGTCTACGTCCATTCAGCCAAGTGACAGGGGACTTCTATATGAAATTTAGCACCCACCTACATTACTTGGAACCATTTTCTATATTCAAACAAGGATGTAGCCTAAACACGGCCTTGGAAGCATTAAACCATAAACAGGGGTATTTTTCAGCTTGCTAATTTTGCATTAGAGAAGGAAACTAACACCAATGAAGTGAAAGGTTTGCCAAAATTAACATTAGAAAAAACACACGGTGACAATGTTATGAAGGAAATTAGGGCAGTGTCATGAAAACGTAAATTTAACTAGGAGGTAAATATTCAAATCTACTGCTACTGATTGATGCCAAACAATGCTAACAAAGGTGATGGCATGAACCAAATGTTTTGTACGAGAGGAGCCGCAGCAGGAAGACCGTATATTTGATATATACAGTAAT